TACCTGCCGCATACCAGCGAGGGGAGTATGGGCACACAAGAGCATGAAAAGTATCAAGCTGGTCACGCAAATTACAAAACTGTATTAACAAAATTAAGGAAAAGTGCCCAACATTCCACACACAGCAAAACAAACCATATATTGTTTTCATTCCGTAAATAATTTAACTTTGTGTAAATTTGTATTCTACAATGTCTCTTCCGTGCCTTTTACATTTTCTTCTCCATGGGTTTGCTTCCAATTATAATTATCTTCAAAAAAATCTCGTCGTCCATAAGCCTACAATAGCATTTCTGTAGAATGTGTCCCCTATAGCTACGCCTGGGGAAATGGTCATTCGAACTGACTTCAAAGTCTTGTTATTTGTTTGGCGGGTAAGTTGCATTAATTAGACACGCGTGGAAAATTAAGAATGTGTTCAGCATTACAAACTCGTACTCCAGATGTCGGCTATAACAGTGACGGGAAGAATTGGACCCCAGATGTATAGAATGAAGTATTTTGCCAGTACACTGCAAAAAAATTTGGTGTTAAAATCAACACTTGTTCGTGCTATCCTATGACCACATTCTTGGGGTTTTACTTTAACACCGCTGGTGTTACTTTCCACATCTATAAATGTTACAGTGCACTGGAGGGTGTTAAAATAACACCAAACAACACCAACATTTTAACACCATTAAAAAGTGTTGGTGTAGTCCTCTGATAACACTGGGGGGATTTAACACTGGAGTTTTTGCAGTGTAGGTTTCCTGTGTTCAACGTTACTGCGATGACTGCTTAATGTTCTTCCGGATTAAATATTTTGTTTGAAGCCACCTAGTATGTAAAGAGATAAGAACTGCCAAAACTAATTTAGAAAAAAAATTGTTACCTGCTTACCGTGACTACACAACCAGGAAAAAATCAGTGCATTTAGACACCGGTTAAGTTCAACATAATCACAATCATAACACTGCTTCAATATAAATATAATATATACAAACCTGACATTTTTCCCATCAGAAAACAACATCTTTGTAAATAAATAACAAAAACTATTTTTACGCACACAACGATTTGCGGGTTGCCTCTTAACATTTACAAAGTCCTTCTATATGATTCTTTGTGAAATTTAATGGATTTTTAACAGAAATGAATATGTACAGCAAAGGGAAGGGATTAAAACAAACGGAAAACATGTCACGTGAACTTTCGACGATTTCAACTAGATTGTTGAAATTTTCAAAGCAGGATGATTTATTTGGGTTATACAGTATGGCGTCGGCCAAGCAGGTTCCTGACAGCAGTTCGAAAATCTTTTATAAACATGGTGTAGACCAAGGGATCGAGAGCGGAATTACACCAACTAAACAGCAGGAGAGGCTGTGCGATCGCTTCGATGGGCGGACCTGCCCAATCTTGGCCCCCGGATCTGCGGTAAATCAGAAACGCCAAGAGTGGAAAATGGAAAGCTAGCGTGATTAGCAAAAGGAGGGCTGTGACTGCATACCCCTTCTTCTCGCGGTTGAATCTAAGCCTGGAGCACGGGATGTCGTGATTGCTGTTCGCGCGCGGTCCTCTTACGATGATGCCCGCTCGCTCACCCAGCGACTGTTGCCAACGATCAGCCTTCGTTCTTCTAAAGTACTCAATTTGGAAGCGAGGCTGTGAGTGCCTTTTTGGGCGATCGTCATCGCCTTTAAATTTGAGCCCCGTTTTCTGGTTCAAGCCGATATTTCCCTCTTTTGATAGACCATCCTGCAGAAGCCATCCCCCACCTAGGCTTTGCTCCAGAGCTTTTGGACTGCCGGTGCCACTCGACCCGGGAACTTGTCCCACGTCAATGAAGTCAGGCGAGGTGCCAGTTTTGCTTACCAGGAGTGAGCCAATTCCACAGGATACAGTGTTCCCACTCAAATGGGCCACAGTAGGACTTCTGGAAGCTGACACGTCACTGGGCGGATGGTCATTTGAGTGTTTGGCGTTTGGTCTTTCCCGGAACTTCGGTCCGTCGCGGAGGTGCATCTGAGGGGCTGCTTCTCTTACTGGTTGAACCCTACGACGGTGTCTCCTTGATAACTTCCAAATCTTGTGTGCAGTGGCAATGTTAGCAGATACTAGGATCACAAGGGGTAGGGCTCTACAAAAAAATACACTGATGAGACTAGGTGATTTTGGCCCGTGCGGGGAGGCATCAGACACATTCATGATGCCAATGGCCGGTACCACATAAGATACGATGATCATTGCAACTATAACCCTTAGTCTTTTTCGTCTCCTGTACCATACTGGGAACTTGATGGCAATGTAGCGGTCCAGGAGGATTGGACACAAGTTCCAAAAAGCCGTATTTGCAAAGTACATGACGGGGACTGCCGGAAACCGAAAGGTGTGTTCATTTAGCCTGTAGCAGATGCTTAAGGGTATAACGAAAGTACAGATGATTAAGTCGCATACAGCCATGGAGACAATCGGGCAGTTAGCTGCTGTCCTCAGTCTCCGAAATTTGGCGATGATGACCAGAAGAAGTGTGTTTCCAAAGATTCCCACGGAAGCTACGACGGACAATAAGATCATGAAAACCATCCCTGTCGAGTGACTCCGGGAAGAGTCTGCAGAATAATCACGGACTGACGTGGTGTTCATTTCCATCATGAGTTAGTTATGGCTGTCCTCTTCATGTGCTCAAAGATGACAGAGGTGCAAAAACCTATCCTGCCAAATACCTCTTTGTGCATTGACTTGATCGTAAGAGAAAGAGGAAATATCCAAATCTACTCCTGGCTATGATTATGAGTCGTCTGCTGCTCGAACCTTTCAGCGTGGCTGGATAAGTGGCTTCAATTAACGATACTAAATATAGGCATCATATGCAGTCAGCTAAGCTGCTGGATGAAAATCTTGAGTTACTGGTGCCATTTAAATACCCGACCCAGGCATGCGCACGCGCATTGCTGTTGATGATGTAGATAATCAATTCGTTTTCCACACTGTACCTCATGTTTGACGCCATAGAATAATCTCTTGGTTTTTTATGTTTGTTTGCTTGTGGGTTTTTTTGCCGATCTTTGTATGGTTGGGATACCTGTTTTCGTTATTATTTTTTTCTGAACAGCCCAACCATTCAAAAGTGCATCCTGTGGGTATGGGTCACCGGCTTCAAACGACTGAAACCACTGACTGAATGGACACAATGTCTGATTTTCATAATCGCGACCCGCTCTGCAAAAAGGGTATTAAGTTGCGTAATGCCAAAACACGTAATGGCCTGTTTTATTTGGGGAGGGCAAAATTTCTTCCAAAATGTAATTTTTTGGTTTTTTCCTTTACAAGCTTCTATTGTGTTTAAATTTGCAGAATTTGCAGCACATAGATACTAGTGAATAAAGATTAAATTTTGATCATTCAGTAGGAAATTAGCATTGTTTCCCAGCGATACACTTTATAAGCTTTTTCTCGAAATTGTTTTTATTGAATCAAAAAATGTGGATACACAAAATTAATGTCTATATATCTCAGGAACACAGCGCACTACAGGGGTCATTCATATATCAAATACTGGCGTTTCACAATAATGCACCTCCAAGAGTTTGCTATGCGTTGGCCAATCACAACGCGCGAAATCTGTCGACCCTTTCCACACGCGCTTTGGGTTGACAGATTTTGCGCACTGTGATTGGTCAATGCATTGCAAACTCTTGGGAGGCGCACTATTGTTAATCACTCGAATTGTAGCTTTTGATGTACAGAATCCAGCCATATCAAAAATTCATAACCTGAATCTGGCGACTTATTACCCATTTTTCTAGACCCGTCACAATTATGTGAAATGTTGACTCCTATTTTTTTTACTCTAACTAATTCATGTATTTATGACAACTGTTGATCTATATAGGCTAGATTATTGTCATTTGTTCCTAAATGTGCACAGTACAAGTAGTGGAAATAATGCAGTGGAAATTCGGCTTATACACTATGTTTCATACTAATTACTACGTTCAACAATGCAAAGAAGAAATATACGTCGTTTCATTGGAAGTAGCAAGAAAGTTGTATGATCATTGTTCCATTCTTAGAAAAATCATTTCATCTTTGTAACACGGGCAAAATAATGACAAACAGCGCTGGTGGAAATCAAAGCCAACGTCCAAGAAACGCGCGTGGCAACATCAGTACTTTTTTGAGGGAGCTTTCTATTTTGCTTGTCTTCCACGAGGCACTCCTCTTGTCAACCAGCATAAGACAAAAGTACAAAAATTGTCCTTCTAATAAGTTACCCATCAAAGAGTTTTAAACGAATATTGACCATTTCTCCAGTCCAAACAAGCTGCTGAACCCGAAAAAAGTAAAAAGTAGAACTTTCTCCAAGAAAATATAGAAAATGTGATGTTTGTACAGAGAGCTTTGGTAACACAGTGACGTAACTAGGGTGCTACAGCGGGGGGGCACCTGGGGTGCAAATTTTTTTTTCATGGGGCACTGAAAATAAATGAACTAAGTGCCTGTCTAAACGTCTACCTACATAAATGGACGTAAATGTCCATTTCAAAATTTCAAAGGGGGGGGCACCTGGGGCACGGGCCTCCGTTGGGGGGGGGCACGTCCCCCCCCCCCGTAGTTACGCCACTGTGGCGACACTATAATTGTTCTGCCTTGGGTGACATCACGCTTTGGCTCATGAATATGGAAATTTAAGGATAAAAGCCACACTGTTGAAGATTCTCCCTTTTACTGCTTCAAAAGAGGTAGGACTAAGTCATAGTTACATTGCGTGATAGCTTTCCTGCATAAATTCAAAGTCTCTTTGAAGTTAAAACTTTGCTGTGAACGTATCGTGGAGCTCGACGGTATGAAGTGAATTCTACGGAAACGTACTACCGCCACGCACAAAATATTTTTTTCAAGAATAAGTTTCCGAAGTTACGTACGAGACAGTTTCACGTAGGTACATCAAAACTATTAGTGTATGTTCATACTTCGGACTTAAAACGTACGTACGTGCGTGAAAACATCACTTAGGTATGTGAAACTAAAAATATCATGTACGTACATGAAAGTGTTAGTATGTGCGTCCAAAAATGTTTTTGTACGTGCGTTGGTAGTTTCCGTAGTAATCTGTTCCTCAGCGCTAGTTAGGACTGTACTACAGAGGTCGCTGTAGCGTTCTACGGTCACGTTTTACCTGACTTGTGAGAGTGGTGTAACTTCAACTTCAACTACAACTTACATAGGTGAGCCAGCTTAAAACCATGGAGATTTTCCTACTTCCATGCTAAGAGTGAGACTAACTAGGAGTAGGCCTACCCCCCTAAAATATGTAATGCCTTATTACATGGGTTTTGTGATACAGTCACACTTGTCGGAATGGTTCGATGAGGTGTGTACAAAGTGATGCCAGCACTTACATGTACATTAACAGGCGGCGTATTTGTGGACTCTGTCTTCATTTACACAACGTGATCATGACTACGCTGGTCCGGTCAGGTCAACAGGCTGGGGGCATCCGGGCCGTGCTTGTGCACAAACCTATAGAATTTTTAGAAAATTCGAAATATTGTACGGCTTTTGTTATCTGCGTCTGAAACAGTGTAGCATCAACAAAGCCAATATGCAAACAACCCAAACGCACAATCGGTAAATGAGCATACATGTAGGCCTGAATTTGAATCATTTTGCTCTCTGCCATGCCCATGTCCACCCAAAAAAACAAAACAAATGCAAACACGTGAACATAGGAATTTTGCCTTGACCTTTTTTTAATTGGATTTTATCGGTACCCGCTGCGCATGATAACAGTCGCTGTTCCAGAGCCGTCAACTCATTCAACACTGACTGAAATAAGGGAACGACTTTTTAATTTAGGCTAGATGAACTTACTATAAAGAAAACCACTGAAAGACATGCATGCAAAATCAGACGACCTTGCTTGAATGTTAGGGAAACATTTATTTTAAAATAATCAGCAATGAATGTAAATAAACGTGTGCCATTGCTCTGTATACGCGCACCTTATTCCAAAAACGCGCTGACATTGGCGTATGTTGTACTTGCACATTGCATTTAGAATACATAATAAATAGTAGACAGTTCAAGTTTTTAGCTTAAAAAACAAAACAATGTCACTTCAAATTAACGAAGACCATAACATGTTTGTCACATTGGCACGGCATAGAAACCCAAGTAGCAACACAATCACTTGATCTGCCGTCTGCCTTTAGAAGAATATTGAAACTTGCTGTAGCTGGTGATACATGTAGTTAAGTTTGGAATATTTGGTCATGAATTATGTGTCTTTGGCTCATTTGAAAATCAGTTAAAAAGTGTGTTACTAAAATATACCCCAAAATATACAAATCATAAACTTTTGAGTATCACGTACATTGTATGTCTGGAAACTTTATTCCAACATCTTAAAAGTTAAAGATAGTGGCGTGTATGGACATTGAGGACACTAATGATAAATAATCTTGTGGTTAGCAGGAATCAAATTTGGTTGGGGAAAAGACATATCTGGCGAAAACACATGATGGCACAATACATATACATGTGTAGCTCTTGAAAACAGCTCTACTGGAGTTTCAGACTGTGAGACCAATTTTTTTTTTTGAAAAATTTGAGATTTTTACTCACCAATTACTTTTTTCAATCCCGTGACGATCACACTATTTGTGTTTTATCATTGTGCATGCATTGGGCCGACCGTTGGCCAAGCTTGGTATGCATTTCGGTTCAACCATTTTTGGAGCCGGGGAGGGAAAAGCATATTGTTTTCACTGTGTGGCTGTCCTTGCTGTGTGACTTGTAAGGTGATACAATCAGGACGCACAGCATGCACTCTGCTGTGTAGCTAGCTGTGAGATCACAAGATCTTAGGAATTTCCCCCCCCCCCCGAAAAATTTGGTTGAAAAGCGGAGTTTGCACTGAAAAAAGCTTGATTCATAAAATACCCAGTGTTACGACCCTGTGAAAATAACAACCCCTGTAAGTCACACAGAATGACCTAGAGTTCTCTATTTTAGTCATGACCTAGTGCTACCTACCCCCAGAACTGTGGGGCTCAACATCCGCCACCCTCGTCGCTGTGGGGTTTGTCGTCCGCCACACTTCCATGTTGGAATTCAGCGGACGATGAACTGGGCAGACCTGGAGGAAGTAATAGTCTTTAGAATGTTAGAAACCAAATTCATGGTGACTGAGATTGCAAAAATGGAGCCGTGATCTAACTGAGTCATGTAACTGGCATATGACTGACTCCCTCAGATCCCTCAAAACAGTCTCTGTGCTTGTTTGGTGTAGAAAAATCAAACTAGTACAAGGGTATGTCAGTTCTAGTTTTGAATAACGCCCCCAAACATACATGTATAGTCGTCAGAGGCGAAGTTAGTAAACTTCGCCTCATATGTCAGATTGGTTTTCACAGTAAATGGCAACAAAAGGGACCTGGTGACTTTACGGTCACAGACCTTTCACTGCCAACCATACTAATTTGCTTGTTTTCCTTCTTTTCTTTTTTAAATAACCTTGCCCTGGGTTATGGGATTCATATTTTAACCTCTCTGAAATGAGATGGTCGGAATGCCCAACTCCATAGTTCTAGGAAACGTAAATTCACACTCTAAATTAAAGATGATGTAATGGGATTACACCAGTTGACTAACTCTGTCCTTTGAAATTTTATAACAGTGACATGCTGCTTAGATGGGCATGCTGGGATATAATCAAAGATGGCTGATAATGTGTGATTTCTAATCTGTCTGATTCAGATCCTTATAAACCAGAAATCAGTTCCTTCCTGATCCAGTCTCGCTCAATGTTGGCGATTTGAACCTTGATTGTTGTAACCAGAAAACTTGGGAGAGTTACAGAGACAGTTTGTGGTTGCATTGTAGGCACTGATTAAATTGAAAAAAAAAGGTGAGCCCTTTTCTGGTTCACAAGGAATCAGCGAAGTCATCCTTTTTTTTTTTTGTATTTGTACTGCTAGGCCAGTGTCAGGCACACGGGTCATCTACTGATATGTCCAAGGCTGCCCGTGCCGTGAAATCAGCCAAGGATGCTGCTAAGAAAGTGGAGCATGGCAATAAGATCCGAACGTACATCAAGGCTGGAAAAGCAGCACCTGGGCCCCCTCTGGGGCCCGTACTTGGTCAGGTTAGTCCTGTGACCCTTGCCCACCTGATTCCCTCAAAATTTCTCTGGAAGTTTGGGAAGATTTTGGAGAAAGGTGGATGGTAGAGGCAAGCCTCTGTTTACTTGACATGGGGCTAAGGGCCAGGGAAGATCCAAAATCAGTTTTTTTCAGGTGGATTGTATTGTGCCAAAAATGTACATATTTCTATATGTGGCCTTTTATGGCCTTTCTGAGAGGTGAGGCAAAGTTTTGTGCATTTCACACACTTTTGGAGGGAAGGGAATTTCACTTCGAAAAAAAAAAAACGCTTTCTTCCTTTTGTAGGGCCATAGCCCCTGGTATACATCCCCCTCTGCCAGTTCATGTGGTATGATACTTCTTGGAGTAACGAAGCATGTACAGTTGGCTTCCTGCACAAATGAAGGATTTTGCCTGCAGCAAGAATTTGGGGGGGAATTTGCATTCACCTTGAAAGGATGAAAGCCTATCTCGCAATCAAAGTTCTGCTCAACCTAGGTCTTGGGGTTACATGTGCTTTATTGTCAACTTGGTTCCAGCAGTGAGCCCTGGTTGTGCAGCTTTCTTCCTGTGCCCTCTTTCAATACAGTAATTGCAAATAGTTCATTTGTGCTTTGTTCGTGGTATTACAAATGCAATTTTCATGTCCTCATCTGCCTTGTAATCAAATAGTCTCTTTTTTACCATTTTGTTCATATTTGTGCTTTTGGATCTCAGAATTAACCATGGTTTTTATCTAGGCTGTGCAGAATATCTTGATATTCAATCGATTATCCAATATTCTTTTTCGAATTTGAATATTCCAATGCAAAATTCATGAAATTGAATTTTCCTTTTTTTTAACTGAGAAATATTGCACAGTTGTGGCTTGTTCCAAGCAGATTCAAATGAAAAGCAAGAGAAACCTGAATTACAATGATTCAAAACATGCATTATTCATTGAAAAATCTAAAGGAATATACATTTTCAACAGGACATGGAGTATTATTCGTCTCTTAAATCTTGCTAAATCGTGGCTGGAGATATGTCTCCAAGACGTGAGAAGCTACATGTGTACATGTATTATAGATATTATGTTCAATTATGTGTGTTACTGCAGCTGATTTTGTGTGTGGTGTATTCCTCAACAATTTGCCAATGGATTCGACCGAATATTGGGATATTCAATCGAATTGAAGGTCGAATATTCGAATATTGAATTATTTGAATTGACTCAGCCTAGCTTTTTATACCAGACACTGCATACAAAAGCAAAGATTATTTTTCACAGACCACAGACTTCTAATTATACATGTATGTATGCTGAATGTTTGAATAATAATAAACTACAAATGATCCATTGCCGGGGTGGGAGAACAGGCAGCCACGGGGGGGGGGGTGTACTGCTTGACACCGTGGGAATGAGGTTGAGTCTGTCTACATGTGTTTTCATTGAGTGACTGCACGCGTGTGTTTGTTAAAACACACTTGAGATGGACCAGTGACTCCAGTAGAGCTGTTTTGTTAACATGCTTTCTCTTCTGCCCGCCTACAGAGGGGAATCGCTATTGGCCAGTTTTGTAAAGACTTCAACGAAAAGACTAAGCACATTAAAGAAGGCGTACCACTTCCGTGCTACATTCACATTAGTGTAAGCATTTGTATCTATATTGTATCACTTGTTCTCTCCAAGATGGACCTTGAAAAACTGAGCAGTTGCACACACTGAATGAAGAAGCTAATTGCCCACAGTAATGATGTGAGAAAATTGGCATATTCGGAAAATTTAGGAAATAGACATTAGGCCATGAAAAAGAAACGGTAATTCTACTGCATTTTCTACTGCAAAAGATTTTCCATTTTTAATTAGGTGGTTGTTATTTATTTACATCATTAGTGCTATTTGTGGCATTGTGGAAAATCATTTCTTTTTCAAAAATCAGTAGCAGAAGTGGGGATTTCTACTTTTTTGAAATTATACATGAGTTAATCATGACTGAGTCTTTTGGGGTCACCACAAGTAAAATTACAAGTAAGGTTCAGTTGAGGAACAGTGGCAAATGAATGCATTTAGGTTTAATAACTGACTGCATTTAATAACTGACTGAATTCCACGTGCAAAATCTGGTACAACTCATAACAACTTTGCCATGGATCTATAATTCCCCCCCCCCCAACAGAGCTTTGCCCTTTTCCTGGCAGTGACCATTGGCTGAATTTGAGTCTGACCAGCGTTCTCTCTGGGTCATTGTATTACTTTCTAATTAGGTGTTGGTAATATGAAAACAAGCAGTGTCTTGCTTACACCAAGATTGTCTCACTTTGTTTTCTCTCCGAAAGTGTCAGTTGTTCATCTGAAATGTTTCTCCATTGTTCGCCTCTGTGTGCTAGCCTGACAGATCCTATGACATTGAGATCAGAACACCGCCAGTATCCTATCTAGTGATGCAAGCTGCCGGAATGAACAGAGGGGTCCACGAAGCAGGTACATGTACATGTAGGCCTGATACTGTATTTTGAAATCCCAAATCTTTTGGAGTTTGAAACCTGATATAAATGTACAGAGATCAGTCGGACCTTTCCCATAATTTCAAATGAGGAATTTAACCAGATGGATTTCCGTACAATAGCAGTGTTTCCATAGTATCATCAAGTAAATTTTTGTTTTAAATATTTTTATTTCAAATAACTTATGAGGTAAAGGATCAACCCGAAAGAATTATTGCCTTCTTTTTTTTTTTCATTTTTCCAAAGGGAAGCAAACATTTGGCAGAATTTCTCTCAAGCATGTCTACGAGATCGCCAAAATCAAGCATCAAGATGCCCCTCTCAGGGACCTGAGTTTGGAAGAGGTTTGCAAGCAGATCATCGGCTCCTGTCGCTCCATAGGTGTCGAGGTAGTGAGGACCCTGGACCCGGAGGAGCATGGGAAATTCTTAGAGGAGGTGGCTGAGACAAGGAAAGAGCTTGACGCTCAGAGAGCTTTGGATAGGGTGTCCTGATAGTATTAATAAATGTCACTGACAATCAACAGGGACAGCTTCCCCCATGTCAGCCCCCACACACAGGTTACAGACCTCGACAGATTTGTGTCAGTGTGAGAACTGAAGGACAAAGGGACGGTTGTCAGTACGATCCTTGTCCCATAAGCAGGATTCATGGCTACTTTTGATGTCACATGAGGCATTTCACTCAGGAAATGAATGCGTGTGGAACACATTTCTTTTTGGTTTTTGTAATTTGGAGCATTTGTTATTACAAGGTTAATAAGCCGAGCGGCCTGTGCAACTTGCGCAGGACACAACCCTTAATGAGCCACTTGGGTGTTGCTGGTACGTAATCAAATTGGAGCACGGTGTAGGTTATTCAAGAGCATCTGAAATGCATTTGAGGTTGGACCATAGAGCCGTGTAAAATTACTACCGTACTCACTTGCAGTGCAGAGGCCTACTGGATGCATACATGTTCATGCACAAACCGGGAAAGCCTGAAATTTCATACACTGCTTGCATGGTTAATTTTATATCTGTATTCTAAAGCAGTGCATCACGAAAGGCAATATGTCAAAAACCAAAACGTAGAATCAGTAATTGAGCGGGTTTTTTTGTCCTGTTTAAACAATACAAATGCGAATGTGTGCATACGTGCGCTGCAGCTGAATTTTGCTGGGGTTTTAACGTGTCTTACTACTGGTGAAAAAATGCACTTACATACATGTATATATTGTTTGTGTATGTCATGCTCGTGGTTTGCATGCTGGGTACATTATTTGGTATGTTTCCTCAACTTTATTGTGTTTTATAAATATACGCATTGATTCCTGAAAATTAATTTCAGTTCTTAGGACACCATCAAAGTTTCTCTGCGTAGGGAAACGAGACATAAGTGCTCTTGTCATTTAATACAGCTCTGTAGATCGACTCTCGACCACTAAGCACGTTTGGAAGTCCTTTTTTGTTAGGTGCTTTGTTCTGGAAAGATTAGGCCCTTTTCGAATTCCAAAGTGGCTCGTTATCAGTCTTTGTGATATTTACGCGGATGCATTCAACTCTGGTAACAAGGTTCTGGCCCAGTTTCATAGCGCCGGGTAGTGGCCAATTTAATGCTAACACTGCCTCTATCAGTTTCAGAGGGACCATTAAAACAAGTGAGCTTAACCCCTGTGGAAAAAAGTCGCTTAAATCAGTGGCATAGAAATCCCCATGATCATGCAACTGTTCGCTCATTCGTGCTGTGACAGTGTTTAAACAAAATTATTTATTTCCTGTTAGAGTTTGTACAGCCTTTGTATCAACTGTTAATCAGCATGGGCATCAACACCCACACACACACACCTCCCATGAAAAAAAATGAAAAATAAGAAGGCCGAGAAAGGATTCAGAGCGCAAGAAATGATACGAAAAAGAGACGAAAGGAGATGAAAATCACAGATTTGCTTGGAAAACCTCGAAATTGACCCCTTCCGTTGTTAATGGTTCATTGTTTTGTTGCTGACGAATGCCCCCTCTTCCCCGGAAATTCCCCCGTAGAAAAATGCTCCCCCACCCGGAATAAATCTTGGCGACGCCCACGTCAAGCAGTGACATTAAACTGGGCCCATAAACTTGTTACAATTTAGAAAAGGTCTAGAAATTAGGAAGAAAAGAGAAAGGAAAACAAAAACTCCAAGAGATTGGTACATTGAAATGTGCTGTTATACAACGGGAGTTGTAAAATGTGTCCTGAGTAGCTGCAAATGTACTCATTTATGTGGATGGAGAGTAGACGTATGTCTGATATTTCTATGGCAGTGCATGTATTTGTTGAATCTGTTCGTCGGGGTCAACTCATTAATGAGGTCAGTAGTCCAAACATTCAAGTTTCCTGTGGGGGTTCATTAGTCTTATTAAGGAGCAAGGTTTATAAACCCTGGTCATTTGAATCGTTTGTTTCCGTGTGATCTGCTCACAGTCTGGACATGAAGTGGTTATTTTCTTCAGTAGCGGTGTGGACTTGCTAGCTTGACGATTCTGCGTTTGTATAGCGTGGAGTTTGAACAGAATATAGAGCGGCGTGCAAGTACGCGTAGGCGTGGTAAATTTAATAATTTAATGAGATGTTCGTGGCAATGAATACAGTGATTATGTTGTTTTTGATATAATCATGCCCTTATTTAGCATTGAAAGTTTCCTTTTGTTGAATGAAATTCTTTCACCAATTGCAATGAAACAAACTTGAGCATGCACCATGAAGTTACGGTGGACATCCTATATCCAGCAAAAAAATGAGAGCGAGGAGTCCCCCCCACACCCACTTACACACTCTAAAGTATTGTTACTAAACATACCCCCCCAAGTCTGAAAAGAATTCCTCAGATTCCTGTGAGACAATGACCAACACAAAGTTGGAGGTTGTCTGTCTCGTACGTCCTTCATGCGGGACATCCAGTGTTAATCTAGCACAATTTACGCTAATGAACAGTGACAAAAGCATTCCTTTTTTACCCTTGCGTCTTGTGAGCGGAGTGCTGTGGCCTTGTGGTTAAGAGCATCGGATTCGTAGTTTGCGGGCAAAGCCGCAGCTTGCGGGTTCGAATCCAGCCTGCGGTCATGGTGTGGCGTTCCCTTGGGCAAGGCACTTAATTTGGGTACCTGTGAGGGTAGAGATGGTCATTGCGGTTGATTTAGCTGCTTTTTAATTTGCGCCGAAAAGGCAGCATTGAGCTGTATACTCCCCAGGGAGCTGAGATGGTGTTTGGGTTGTTTCATAGGCTCTGTGAGCAGGGGTAATAATGTTGGAATGGCGCCTTGATCGTTTTTCCGGATAAGTGCGCTATATAAATCTACATGTATATTATTATTAAAAGTATATATACTTGTACATGTATCGGTGCAGGGCCGGATACGGGATGTTTTGCGGGGGGGTCGGGAAATTTTGTTTTGTTTATTGTGTGTAGCTACCACTGTTGGTGAAGCCGATTAATCTTTTTGTTTTATCCTTAACCGTACACGCAAAATGAGATCCCTTCGTGGGTTATGCTTTTTAGGAGATCTTCCAATCTTTACGTGCACCTAGGCCTCTTATAATTTTTTGAATGATGGGTAATGTGATTGCGTACACCGAGTCCCCGTGCGTCCGGAGCGGGCAACTAACGTATAGCTTCCGCCGCTCCTACGTTTAACAATATACTCGGTAAACGCAGCTTTCAAACACTTCTAAACCGGCTTGGAGTCGGCAGATGTTCCTGCAACAGGAATCTTGACTCAGAAGAACCCAAATGAAGTAAAGTGAAGCTCTTTGTAGACGTTGGAGACGAAGCCTCGCTTTGGAAAGTCACCCCCTTAATGTCTACATTATCCACTGCTGGTCGTCTTTGCTCTCGTCCCCGCTGTTTACGGTCGTCTCGATCTCGAAGTCCTCATTCGGCTCGTTGTTCTTGCTCAGCTAGGCGGCGCGCCACTGCTTCCCGGACGTTCTCTCGGTGCTTTTGGTTCAGCCACGCTCTATTACATGAGAAAAGATTGGATCAGGGTGAAACCCTTGAGAAATCGTCGATGGGTAACATTCGAACACTCCGTCTGAGAACTGTTATTTTGTCGGGAAGCTTGGCTTATTGTAGAAATCCCAGTTAAATTACCCATGCACCTTTGGACCGGTTGACCTCATTCCTCCATGGTCGGCCACGCCATTGAATCGCCCTGGATTTTATTGAATAATACGGGCGATTCACAATAGTGCGCCTCCAAGAGTTTGTAACCCGTTGACCAATCACAACGCGCAAAATTTGTCGACCCTTTTGAAACGTGCATTGGGTCGACAAATTT